ATGCACTAGGGAAATAGCTCAGTGGGACAGCACTTATCTAACATGTTTAAAATTCTGAGTTCATCTGAACTCAGATCATTAAAGGTGGTGGTGCACACCTTTAATCCCAGCACTTAGGAGGCAGAGGCAGATGTATGTTTGTGAGTTCCAGTCCAGCCTGGTCTACTAAGTGAATTCCAGTACAGCCAAAGCTATACAAAGAAACCCTGTCTCGAAAAACTAAACCAAAAACCAAAGAAACAAAACAACAATAACAATAACAAAACCCTGTAGGTTCAACCCACAGTACAACTCTCCCCAAAACAAAACAAAACAAACAACCCCCCAAAAAACAACTACAACAAAAAAACAACCAAAACCTGAGTATGTGAATTCAAGGCCAGCTTGGGCTACATAGTGAGTTTCAGGACATCTTCTGCTACAGAGTCTCAAGAAAAGGAATAAAAAACTGCTGGGTGTGGTGGCACACACCTGTATCCCAACATTCAAGAGGCTGAGATGGGAGAATTTGAAGCTAACGTGGCCTACAAAGTGGGATCCTGTCTCAAAACAACAACAAATCCTCCAACAGAAATCAACCCCCCAGCCAAAATAACTAACTAACTAAATAGTAGCTACATATGTGATCTTCCTTTGTGCACTCGAAAGAAAAAAGTTGCCAGCAAAAAAAGACATAGCAATTTGCTCAATTTTGGAAGTAAGCCAAATGGTTACTTCTCCAGAAGATAAATTGAAAAACTAATCTCATATAGACAGAGAAATAAAAACCAGTGTGTTATCATTGAACTTTCATAGTTTTCTTGCCCTTTTTTATCCACTAGAAAGCAAGTTTCTTTTCTTCTTAAAAATTTATTTAGTTTTTTTGAGACTGGATCTCCCTGTGTAGTTCATGCTGGGTCCATGCTCTTTCTTGCCTCCACAATTTTGGAATTACCGGCATGCTGTTACACCTGGCTTAGAAGGTGAGTTTCTCCAGAGTGTGGGGACTCTTATTTGTGTTTGGATCCTCACTATGGAGTAAACATGCAGTGTGTGCTTATCCATCTGCTGGAGCTCAGGAGACCAAAGTATGAGAGCTGCGAGTTCAAGGCCAGCCTGACAACTTCAAGAAAATCTGTCCAAAAAACAACAAAGCTGCTGAGGTGGGGGTAGGGGGCTGAAGAGATGACTCTGCAGTTAGGGGCACTCTCTATTCTTGCAGAGGCCCTGAATTCAGTTCCCAGCACTCAGGTCAGGCAGCTCACAACTGCCTATAACTCCAGCTCTGGTGTTAGACCCCCCGGAAACTAAGGTATCCCGGGTCCCAGGCCACGACCTCGGTCACCCCAATCACCAGGCAGATTTGAGAGCTTGATGCAAACTGCATGAGGCTTTATTGTAATTTAATGAGCTAACCTCATGTTAGCTTGGGTCTTTCACCCACCCGCCAAGGCGGATGGCTCCCAAAAGACAGCTTGAACTCGCTGCTGCATACTGATCTTGTAGGGCAGCGTAAGGGGAGTGTCTAGTGGTACACACAGGCTCATTATTGGTGTGCTTCCAGGCTTGGAGGGCTTGCCCTGTGTTGAATGGTCAACTGGTTGTTATGGCCCATAGGCCCTCCCAGGGTGGTTGCTATGCTCTCTGTGTCATTGCTGTGCACTTGACCATAAAGCACACTCAGAGTCGTAAAGCATAGTGCCACCAGCTAACTTCTGATTGGTTCCTTGTCACGAGGCAGGCA